AAAGAAAGAAAGAAAGAAAGAAAGAAAGAAAGAAAGAAAGAAAGAAAGAAGGAAAGAAAGAAAGAAACTGGGAAAATGAAAATAATTTCCAGCAAGTTATTAGGGAAAATAAAATTCTAAGCTCCAAGCCACCTATCTAGAGAGTGATAATCCACAACAGGAGAAAACAAAAATAAAAACAGCCTGCATTTCTGAACCTAATGCATTTGTTTATCTGTGTATGTTTGTGTACACGTGTGAGCAGGCTTTAAAACAAACATGTGCTTGCAATCTGGCACATCCAGAATAGCTCTCCATCTGAACTACAGGAAACATGCTTTGCACAGAAGCTTCCTAGCTTTAAGCCTTAAGCTAGTTATGATATAAATTTCTTTTTTCTAATTAACATTCATACCAGGTAGAAGAAAAAGTAGCTCTCTTGCATGTCAGCCTTAAAATAAAATAGAAATGGACAAGAAAGAGTTCAGTAAGTATTTCATTATGGTCCACTCCCCAAAACAGCTATTTTGCAACAAACACCATTTTTCTCAACATGTATAATATATTCTACAAAATACCTTACAGGTTTAATTCATCCATCTACCCATCAATCCATCCTTCCATCCATTGAGAAAGCCTAACTAGAACTACAATTATATTAAAAACTAGGGAGTCATGGCATACTAATGTCCTGTATACATACTTCTCTCATGTGATGTAGGAGAAATCTCCATCTTGGAGTGATTTACCTGGTTCTGACAAGCCACTGCAGTATGTGTTAGCTGTCATCTTTCTTTAAAGAAATGCTGAGTGAAACACACTTTCATTATCAGTCTGTGAAAGCAGAGCAGCGGAAGCTTGTGCCATATGGACTTACTTTGTTTCCCAGGTATGGGGCCGGGGCACTCCAGTAGTAGCTGTCTGGCAGGGCTTGCCGGGCCTCCACATTACTGATGCTGATCTTCACAGGTGACCCAGAGTTGTCCTGGTGGGGTGTCACTCGCAAACGGCCAGAGATGTCAGTCAAATACCAGCCACTCATGTCTTGTATCTTCCAGAAAACACACAATAATCATTAAAATCCATCAACTATATTTTCTTTCATATTGCTTGTATTTGACAGAGAAAGGTTCAAATGTGTTACTGTGAATATCATTAAACTTATGCACTCAGAGAGGCTCTTTCCATTGTTTTCTTTATTCTTCCTTACATTTCTACTTGTTTGGATGGTACTTTTTGAATCTATACTTGTTAAAACTTGTGATTCTTAGTACTGCTTTTTTAAAAAACATAGGAATTCATTCAGAGTCACACAATAGTTACAACATTATACAGTATAGCAACTAGTTGGACTTTAAGTTTCATATTTTTTATGCCATCTGAAATTTCTTGTTGTTGGGGCTGGGGATTTAGCTCAGCAGCACAGCGCCTGCCTGGCAAGTGCAAGGTCATGAGTTCGATTCCCGGTACTGGGAAAAAAAAAAAAAAAAGAAATTTCTTGTTGCTTGTGGAAATAAAATATTTCAAAAGTGTTACATATATATTTTTAAAACCAAAGAAGAAATGAAAAAAAAAATACAAGTATTAGAAAGTTGTCTTTTCATTTAATATTTCTTCCAACCTCCACATTTTAAAAATTTTTACATTGACAGTTAAGGACATTTGACTCCATCAACCCGTTGCCATGACGAGAGCTTACAATACTGTACGCGCTTTCCCATAGGCTCAGAAGTACTCTGGGAACTCATAGCCTAGATGCCTGGCCCGGAAAAGCAAGGAGCCTTAAAGGAAAAATGAAGGAGTGAGCGATGATTCGCTTTTCCATTATTTCCAGTTAGGAACAGGCAGACAGCCATACTCTGCTTCCTGAGGACTCAGGCTATCGGTGACCCAGGTCTTGCTAAACATCTGTGAACTGCTTGGTGCTGGGCGAGCAGGGGCAATTGGCTCTATTGAGGTGAGGGCGAAATATTTTTTGAAAATATCTTCATGTAGAGATAATTTGATTTTTCTTGTTCCAAAGCTGTGGAATCTTTAGAACTGCTTTGGTCAAAAAGAAAAAAATAGAGGCCTATTATAAACTCATTAGTTTGGAAGAGAATAGGAAACAGATTCCTTCCTCTTCCTCCATTTCCAGCAGCAACCTTCAGGTGTCCTAAGACAGTGGAATGCAGTGGACACCAAGGTTGAGTGCTGCCAGCTTTGTCCCTTGGTTAGCTGCAAAAGCTTGTTACAGCAGTGGCCGACGGGGGCCGGGTGGGACTCTATGTATGAAATGAGTAAGTTTGGAACCAAAAGATCATTTCCTATTGATTCTTCGAAGTCTGTTTTGACAACAGTACACTTGATAATATGTATACAAACTGATATTTAGACATGAGGGTATATCAGAAAGTACTCCAAATGACTGAATACAATATAGGTGGAAAAAAATTAACAGCTGTATTCTAGATTAATCAGCTAGCTGATGAATGATAAAGGAAAGAAGTGTCTGGAAGATAGCTTATTAAAATAGTTTTTGTAAAACACAAGTCTGATCATCTCATTTTACTGCCTAAAAATCCACCAGTGACTCACTAACAAGATTATGAAGGGTCTGTTTTCCTCTAAATTCTCTTTTAGACAGAGAAACTGCTGTCTGTAGGGAGAGGCCATGGAGAGCGTGGTAGGCAGTGGAAGCAGAAAGATGAGCAGATGTGTGTTAAAAGAAGACAGCCTCAGTTACTGCTAAGTAGTTTTCAGTCTTGTCCAACCCGTGGCCTTCTTGTCCTCTGTTTTTTCTATTTTTTTTAGCAAAGAGGAATCATCTTGGGCTGCATATAAAACACATACTGTAGTAAATACATACATATGTGTAGCAAGACTACCTTATATTTGCACTTTTATTACGATATTAAAAGATGGTAAAAGAAGATGAAGAAAACAAAGAAAGAAGGAACAAAATAGAAAGATGGTAGGAAGGGAGGAAAAGAAAGAAAAGAAGGAAAAGAAAAGGAAGGAAGGAAAGAAGGAACAGAGGAAGAAACAAAGAAACAAAGAAACAAAGAAACAAAGAAACAAAGAAACAAAGAAACAAAGAAAGAGAGGTGGCAAGTTGGACATGACTGGTTTAGGTAATAATTTTAAAAATGTTAAATCAACTAAAAGTGAAGGTATTATCTAAACTTGTTGCCCTTTTTAATAGTGAAAGAACCTGGAAAGCATTAAAAAAGGTGATGGGTCATATGTATTGTATAACAATGACAATAGAATTTTCCTAAATTGTATATGGGACATATAAAATATAATTTTTATATTTAAAAATCATGTTTTCTCTATTGTACTGTCTTCTGGAGATAAAAGTAAATTCCACTATTGTTTCACATAGTAATTATGGACATTCAAACCCATTAAAGCTTGGAGGGAAGACACAGTAATAGTATTTGAAGACAGATCTATCGCTTTTTCTTGCTGCATTTCAGTCGAAGCTCACTATAATATACTTTAAAAAATCTTACAAAGAACACAAGCAGCAGCAAAGAAGAGGCAGGGGTGGCGTGGAGGACGAAATGACAGCTCTTACATTGCCGTAGGTCCAGTAGGAACTCTGACATCTGTTTGAGACTCCTGAACAGAAACACTCATCACAGCCCTTTGGATTATCCTCTTGCAAATTGAAGAAGCCAGGCTTGCAACGACTGCAGTCTCCTCCTTCAACATTCTCCTGTGAATAGAGAGAGGCATTACAGAGAAGGACACTAGCAACAAGAAAAGTGCTACCCTCTCTTAGCGTTCAGGTCTAAAATGCCCTCCAAAGCCTCACTGGTTTGGAAGGTGATTGATTATGGGGCTTCTAGGTGGCTTGTTCTTAGGAGGCAGGGTCTGGTCTGGAGAGGGGGTCCCTGCGGGTATGACCTTGAGCATCTGTCTCCCTTCCTGTCTCCCGCCCTGACTCAGCTTCCCAGACTCCATGCAGTGAGCAGATTTCCCTCTGCGATGCCCCTCCGCCATGCTGCCCCGCCTTGCAGCCAGCAGTGTATGACCTGAAACCTCCACACACTGTGAGCCCCAGGGAACCTTTCCTCCTTTAAGTGGAAGTGTTGGATATTACGTCTCAGTGACAAGAAAGTGATTAAAACACCTTCACAATTAAGAGCTTTCTGTGTGTCTGTGTAAAAAAAAATGCTAACTGCTCGTTCTTCATTTCATCTTCTCAGGAAGATTACAGTGTAATATTATTTTTAAACATTTGCTCATAAGCTTCTCCTGAAGCTATATCTTTTCCAACCAAATTGAGGAGAAAGCTTATTTGATCCTAATCTACTGTACTGAGAGTTATGATTTTAAGCTTCATGTATGTTAAGCCTGTAAGTCACTGTCATGATAAAATACAAGAATATTGCAGTCTGAATAGCATGGGGCCAATTGTGTTTACTGTTCTGTATTACCGAGCAACTTTATCTTAAAACACATGACATATGGTAAAATGTTATGGGAATTATACCACTGTGAAACACTTCATAACGCAGATTAAAAATACATACACTCGAGGCAGACATACTAATTTGACATGCAGAGAAACTGAACAAATAGTATTTCTCTGATCAGACTAAGTAGAAAAGGGGGAGAGTTTTCCTGGTTAACTTTAACAGGACTTCCCTTACCACACTGGTCTAGCCAGTGAGATTGTGATATTATTGGAAAAACTCAGTCCTGTTCGCTGACTGCTCTCCCTGGTGATCTGTCTCCATAGCCCCAGGCTCAGTACATGAGCACTGTTTTCCTGTGAGCCTGCAATAGACTCAGTCCGGGGAGAGCCCACTACACAGTGCACAACTGGGAAGGGTGTAATCTCGCAGAGGAAGAAGTGGTTAATATTCGCTGATACTGCTAAATGGAGGCTCCCTGTTTTCTAGACTTTCGGTGTTATGTAAGCATGCATTTATTCCGCATTTCCTGTTTTGCTTGAATTCCCTTTCCTACCTAAATTATCAAGTTTTCCTTTCCTTGGAGAACTAATTTTCCTCTCACCCATATTCTAGTTCCTGACCCCCTTTTGCAGTGCTGGAGACTGAAAGCGGAGCAATCTCACTGAGCTACATCCTGCAACTTTTTAATTTTTATTTTGAGACGGCGTTTCACTAAGTTGTCTGAGTGAGACTCCAACTTGCGATCCTCCTGCCTCCCCCACCAAGTAATGGGATTATAGGAGTTAAAACATATAACTGAAATTTTAAAGATTACTCTCTTCAGTTTTATGTCATACTCTAACCAGAGGTAGAAATCCTGCTTAGTTATCATTACAGTTGCAGAAAACAACTAGGTTCCTTTTACAACACTGAGCATTACCTTCATAAAAGTTTATTATTGTTAAATGAGTCTCTTGACGGTCGTGATTTTTATGCACACCAAAGTGCTATGCATACAGTAGATGCTTAGTAAAAATGGTTTTATTAAGCAAGGACTGGGAGGAACGTAGGCTTGATATAATCTGAGCACATGTAAGTAAAAGTACAAAAAAGAAAAACGGCAGAAAATAAGGAAAATTTATAAGAATAAACAAAGAGGTTCTTAGATCCAAGGGAACTTGTTTAAAATCAACATTTTTGCTGTTAATTTTTATGACCCATTTTCACTGGTGAGGGACATAACAAGAGGTTTTCATCCTGTTTTAGGATATTAGAATCCTGATATGTACACCAATTAAAATTCTGCCACTAACATACAAACCAGTTTTGATTTTTTAAGGTTGATTTCAGATATTTTGAAATGATAGATGTCAGCAAAACTAAACAAACAAATTTTTAAACTTGTAAGGGAGAAATAACTCCCTAAAGCACTCAAAATGAGAACATTTTCAAAAGGATAGGTAAGCAGGGGAGATGAAACACATTTGTAATTATTATTAAGATTATCCCGTGGAGAACACTGCAACACAGTTCTGGACACTATGTTCTGTGCCAGTTCTAATATCCTTTTCATTTTCTCTAATTTGAAAGAAAATAATACCACTTTTCTGGGATTCAGACAGAGTTCAACAATTAGAAAATTTTACACATTAGTCACATTTTATTTAGCTCTATTTTAACCTGGTAATATGACCCTGAAAAATTGTGATTAAATAATTGCATATTAAATTTAAATTAATAACCTGAAGTAACACATTAGGGTAGGAATTCTAGATACTCTGTAGATGAGTGGGTCAAGGTCTCTGTCCAAGAGACAGACCTAAAAGCCAATAGCTACTTGGATAAAAAAAAGATGCACTCACAATTGACTATATATATATATATATATATATATATATATATATATATATATATATATATTTGTTTGTTTGTTTTCCAGTACCAGGAATTGAACTCACGACCTAGTGCTTGCCAGGCAGGCACTGTGCCACTGAGCTAAATCCCCAGCCCCCGCAATTGACTATAATACAGGGTGGAACAGGGTAAGCGCAGCCCAGGAGAAAATTAAGTTACAGGAACATAAGGAAGTGCTAATTCCTGCTGTCAGGGCTTCAGGAGGCTTTACGACAGGAGAAAAATTTCACCTACACCTTGAAGCCCGGTTTAAAAATTCAATTTGTTGTCAGAGCTAGGATGAGAGGGCATGCTGCCAAATATATTTGGGACAAGAATTAATAGGGAAAAAAGGAAAGGTTCACTTATTATTAATTCTTTCAAGTAAGTGCACTGGATATTTCTTACTTGCTAGGAACATTGCTACTAGCAATCTAGCATCCCTACCTTATTATAATAGGTATTTGAAGCTGTCCTCAGAGATAGGAGTTTTATCCCTCAAGAATTGGTAGGTTGTTAATAGACATTCAGAAGGAAATAAATTCACATAACTTTGAGACTTAAATTGACAGGACCAGGTAAAATGACTATGAAATGGGAGACAGGGGAGCAAAAAGAGTCATTACTGCATACATGATGCAGTATTGGGTAACGCAACAGATTTTGGTGCTTATATGCTGGATACCACAATGAATATGTTACAGGGAGACAACAATTAAACATCTTAGAATATCTTGCCTGGTAAGATTGTCTTTTCATACCTAAAGCATAAGGACACATCTGGTATTTTATGCTAACCCTGTGGCAAATGCCTCTTTTTAAAATTGAAGGTGTGGGGCCACTGGAACTCTGGGGGTGTCAGAGACTGAGAAGTTAAGGTTTGTCCCAAGGGCTTTCCATATCTATATAACAGCCCCCAATAGACACCCTGGACACCACAACTTACAGCCTCTGCAAGCTTTCACTGAAAGAGTAATGAGGAACTTGTGGTTGGCTTTCCCTGGTCTTTTCCTGGAGCATCTTCTGTCTTTGATAACTTTAACTTGGAATCTTTCATGCCATGCACTATGAGATGAAGGAAACAGCTTCTCTGAGCTTTATCTGTTCTTCTAGCAAAGCACTGAAACTGAGGGTGCTGTATGGGACCTGACTCACCGTGATGGTATGATGACAGAATACGGTAGCCAAGCAGTACCTTGTGGTGTTTACTGTGACAGACCTTCACACCAATATATGTTAAACCCCATTACAAGTCTTCCAGTTAACCTGCTTTGTCTCCCCATTCCCAGTTCACTTCAACTCCTTTCATAAACTACTACCATCCCTGAGAACATTCGCGAGGGCTTCCTGTCCAGTTGCACAGCGCTTGTCTCCCTAGAGCCACAACTTTAAGCTTATACACTACCACTTTTTATTCCTCTGTCTGTCCCAGACTTTTGCTCTAGTCAGCTGTAGCTTCTGCTAAATTAAATTTGGCTTGAGGTTGTTTCCGTACCTAGAGTCCCCCACATAATGAATTGCAAACTAACACTATGTCAATAGGCTAAAAATTTAAGAGTCTGCTTGTATTAACAGAAAGTCAGGTTTCAACAGAGCACCAGCCCCTGAGCTTTAGCCAGTCACAGGCTGTCATTCATCAGGTTCTTTCTAAATAAGGCAAATATCTAGAATTAACTAATCAAGCTGTTTTTATTTTACATTTGTTTTAGTCTATTCCCACTTACGGAGTACTTGAGAGCAGCAGTCTCTGAATTTAATCTGGTTCTGAGTGCTGTCTGATTCAAGAATTTCCCTTTGTTCAAAGACACTGAGTTAAATTTAACTTATCAAGAGTTTTTCTTTTAAGGTTCCTTATCAGATTGAGGGACATTCACTCCATTCCAAATGGCTAGGCTTTGATTTTTCTAAGGCTTTACTGAAGACAAATTTAAAACACAAGTATTAAATATATGGATATAAGGAATGCTTATAGGTTGTTATTTATGGCACACTTAAAGGGTCTTTCAAGGTTGGCAGGAAGATGTCAAAGGAGGAGGAAAGCTTTTTAGCTGAGCAGAACTCCCTTGCAGACAAATTGCAACCCACACGAAACTAATCACCCATACCAGATCCTATGATATTTTTCCTTTACTAAACTCCCTTGAGAGAGTATATAGGTAGATATACAAGTAATTTCTTGTTTGTAAGATTGCATTTAAAATTTTTTCTTTTTTAAAAATAAGTTTTTGAGTGATGATTCATAGAGAACATCACACTATGATGTTTGCTGTTTTATGGAACAGGGAGAAGTACAATTCAAAGACAGAAGTGAACTGTTCCAGGGCTTTTCTACGTACCTTCTCAGCAACAAAGTTTCCCCATCTTTTACATAACATAGTAAATAAATCTTATTTTAGTTAGCTCCTTCACGCTGATATATTGA